TTCTGTCTATGTTTCCACTAACTACACTTCGGCTGAAACAAAAGATGAACTCTAAAGGCAGCTTTCATCACTCTTTAAAAACATAAACATAAATGTAGTAATAGTAGGAAGTTATTTTGATGTCTAAGTAGGCAATATAGACTAAAGTGAAAGGCACTCATGTGAATCTTAAGTTGGTGAAGCTCAGAGGACAGAAAATGACAACCCACTGCAGCAACTATCTTCAGATAACTGTTTATTCTCAACAAGGAAGGATATCACTTGTCATGACGACTCCCAAATTCGACTCAACGATTAACGCGAGTGGACTAAATTGCCATCAGTCATCTTTGAAGAGGCTCGATAAGAGATCCCCTCTAACCTAGAGCACGTGTTTAAACTCATAAAATGTTGTAATACAAACACTGTCTTAAATTTAGAATATATTCAGTTGTAAAACTGGCCGCCATAATATATAATGCACCAGCTCGTGCTAACCTTACGTACACAGTTTATGTGTTGTTAAGAGACCTCGCCTTAACTGTGTTGAAGTTTCCAAAAGGCGAGTGCACTTTACGAAGTGATGAAAGTCTTCGTTAACAGGGTCAATCTATTTATCATAATAGAAGGTCATATTAAGGACTGACGAGTCCCCCATTTTCCCCCTAGGTACAGTCAATTTTAAATACTTGGGTACCATCAAGTAACTGATTACTTTATGGTTAGATTTATCCCACAAGAGGTTTAGAGATATGACTAAGACAGTTATTACTGCTACTGACAAATCTATTTTGGAATGTGTTGAAAGTACTGCTTTAAACTTTGACAACAATGTTATGTGTTAAATGTTTTTGTCCAGAAAACAGACCGCAGACTGCTCCTTTTTATTTAGAATGCTTAATCTTGAAAAATATGTAATCCCACCTCTTTATTAAAACTTTTGACACCTAACCCACCTATTATTTTGTTTTGGCTTACGTAGCACTATCACTGAATCTGTTTTGAGATATAGATAACTATATACTTGGATATGAATGGTGTTGAGGTGCAGAATATCCAGTTCACACAACCCATTCATCAAAGCACATTGCCAACGATGTCAATCTACGTGATACTTTGGGTTCATACGCCACCTTTCCTTCGGAGTCGTACATGAGAGATAAAAAAGACACTTCGCTGCTGATACGTTGCAGCCAAACAAGATTTTGAGCGTTATACTGGAAATATATCATTTCTCATTCAGCTGAAAGACAGGGACGTTTTTGTCGATACAGTGAATTTAGTTCACTACGAATCTAATAAACAGTTTATTACTTGAAAGGACACTAGGTTTAGGATATGGATACATTAAATATCGTTCTTACGTTAACCCCGTAGATTTTACCGTTAAAAACTTCATTTATAGTGATATAAGCATACGTGTGTTCAGTAGTTAATCTTGAGAGAACTTGGCTAACCACTAGTGATAAATTATATTAGTTTACATCTCACTGATACGTCGAGAAATTATAATTTTAATATTGTTTAAGATTACTAAAACCAAATAATTGACGCACTTAAATGCGTCTGACAATTGTCAGTTTAAAATTGAACAAGATGTATTACTGAGTCACAAGTAAGTGGAAAGTGTTTAAAAAATAGGCTTTTGTAGGCACAAATAAAGTTAAAACCTACTAGAAATATCTGCCAATACAGAAACAAGTGACCCACAAATCAAGCAGTACGCTTGTCCTTCAATGTTCAAATGATTCAAATGGTTGTGGACGGAATAGAAGAAGCTTTCGCTTAACAGGCTTCCGTGTCTAGTAGCAGGGGATCACCAAATCCTCCAGGCAAAAACGTAGGTATGTTAACAATAAAAGAGGAAAACGAAATTGGCAAATCATAGTATGATGCTGTCCTTGGTCCTTAAGAATAGATCAAGTTGCCTCTTGAATGACTCCTGAGAAGTCGCTTGGACTAGCTCGGCCAGCAGCGAATTCCAGCATTTGACAACTCCTAAGGAATAGAAGTTATGTCTACATTCCGTTTTGCTATGTTGTGGCTCCAGTTTCTGGGTGTTACTCCTGAGTCAAATTAGTAAAGAAAACTTACATGGCTCATTATATTTTATTTTAAATATCTAATCACTTTGGGGAGATCATTCTTGGCTCAGCAATACTTTGGTAGGCTTGAACCATATTAATCTAGGGGAGGATTTCTTGCTATTTGAGAATCAGTAATATGTGCCTGTATCCTAGAATTGATATTCACTCCAGGACTCGAAAATAGTACTCTTTACCCGAAGTGCAATCGCCTTATCTACCTAGGTTCTGACTTCAGATAGCCACATATGTATATATATGCCAAAACAAACGGATCAATTGTAGACTTAAAAATCAATGGAAAGATCTATACTATAAATATATATGAATTAAAGTTAGTATATCACCTTAAAAAATACGTTTTCATTTGATCTTCAGAATTTTTCAGGCCTCTTTAAATTGCTTCGTCTTTCTTTTCTAAAGAATTGAGACTCACTTAAGCTCAACGTGAGGTCATTCGCCAAGTATTTCCTTTTATTTATTTATTGCGTCATTCACTATTCCAACTCTTTCTGAAATTTACAATTACATCATTCATAACTGGCCAATTTCAATTCATATCTTTCTTCATTACCATTAATCTACTTTCAGCTACTTCATTACCTAATATTCTGTGGTTTTAATTCCTTCAGCTTCAGTAAGCTAGCAATGATTTCTGATTCGTATATAATGTGATGAACTTGTTTTGTAAAATCTCGAGGACTGGAGAAACTTGGGAAGCTTCCTTCGGAACGCTAATTATCTCGTTTCTGTTGAAACCAGTACTTTATGAAAAACGTAATCGGTTCCGTAACGTTTTCAGCCAGCTAAGTGAAGAAGCCAAGAACTTCACCTGATGCTCATTTCATTATTGCATATAGGGTATTGTTGATTAGATACGTTAGTACAATTTTCCGATGAATCATCGACGTATATCTGTAGAAAGGACCTATCATCAAGAGATTTGTCCATAAATCTTTAGAACTTTAGTAGTTCAAGTGACATACACACAAACTTGAGCAACTCAAAGGCCATAGTTATGGTTGTATTAGGAATATTTTCCCCAACGACTGTGAATCGCATTGGATAAGTCAATCTTAGTGAATATGTTCGTACTTCGTAGGTGATATGTTTCATCATGGGTGTCAGGTACGGGGTCCCTACCTGATTCAGTTCGATATTTAGTAGCTTTGTAATCCACAAACGGTCCGCCAGTTAACTTTGTCTTACTAAGAGATCGTGTATAGAGATAAGGACATTTATTTATCAGGGTTACTGATTGTACCAAATTATAACATACAGTCGAGTTCATCTTTAACGACTTTTATTTTTCCGGAGGCTAAATTCCTGGGTATCTCAAACACAGGGACGACTTAACAAAATGAGTTACTTTAAGCTTACTTAGAGAATTTTGAGGATCCGCTTCAACCTGAGTTAGAAATTTTGCGGGTATATCCTGAAACACACCAGTTATTACGGGAGAAGATTGTGACAGTGTGCAACTAAACGTCACATCGAGTTTCGAATGGCGTTTCCTGGCGTCGGCTAAAATTCCATATATTTTTAAAAAACCTATTCTAGATCCGAGTCTGCTGCGACAAACACTCAGAAAAAAACAAGATACCTCACTGTTTGTGACTAGTCAGAAGCCAGGCGTATTGTTGACTGCTCTTAGTTGATTAATTACTAATATATTGGTCGCACGAAGGCAGTTCAGATTGTCTGCAGTGTTTTTACCTCTTGAGCTTCGATGTTGTCATAACCCTCTGCTATTATGTTAGCTTTTAGAACAATAGCAATTGTCTCTGTAAAAATTTCGACATTTCCGATGAGTTCTACTATCACGGCCTGGACAGGTCAGTATTAATAACTTCAAATAAACTATCTGATAAGCGCGCCATACATTATTGTAGACAATAAAAAAGTGACACAGTATATAAATGGAGCAAATGACTTCTGTCACACAGAGAATATACATGGAGGGATTTTCAGCAACGCTAGCATGCATATGCCAATCGAAACAAAGAGACCTCACAACCGAAATGATGTTTAGTGATAGATGAACGAACTTAGAAACCACTCACAGCTGCGGAGTATATGAAAGTCTTCAGGGAAGAATTCACAGACTGTTGTGCCGGGACATCCAGTAAAAATCGAAATTCCAGTAAGACTATTCGTCACCACAGTTTATCATGAAAATTTAAGGCTAAAAGGGGGTATCAGCTTAATTAGCTTTCCCCTCAAGAAAGTAAGAACTTGCCTACTGAAATGTGGCTTTAGTCTAATCCACAACCTTTGCTTTCGATGCAAATAACTTTTCAAGTATGTCCGAACTCTATTTAATAGATAGTTGTATCCATACGGAACTAAAGCTCAGTGCTATGGCGGGATAATTATTAAGCATAGTTGAACCACAGATTTAACACATATATACGAACACAATATACCCCAATGTGTTCATGGACTTTTCCAGTCTTCACAATTTATATGTAGCTACCGATTAGGGAATTTCTATATCGTCAGTGATGTACAAACGACTGTTCATTCGGACAATTATTTTCACGAATAACTATACAAACGCTTATTGTAGATTCAGGTTAGTTGTTTCTCTTGCTAATATCTTGCAAGGACAGTTATTACTCATAGACCGTGTTGCCTCCTAAAATAGCTGGTGCAGTGAGATAAGATACGGTAGTCAGTGATTCATACTTTCTATTGAATTGTCTTTATCAAGTGCAGAACTGTTTGTATTACTGAAATTGTCTACTCGGTCAAATAAGCGAAAAGTCAACCCATAAAATAAACCCAGCTATCAAATTAAAAACGTAACAGAACAGTAAATGTACGATTTGCCTCCATCAGTATCCACCTTCGTTTAGCTTACACTCAGTCAGACAACAGCATAGTCCGTTTATTGTATATTCAGCCATGCTCGAATATGAAACTTATCCGAAAATGCTCATCAGTGTGGATTTGGAACGTTAACACCCTATGTGGACCATCCCACTAATTAAAGTAAACGACCGAATCCACTTCACTGGTCCTCATCAACTCGAACCCTGCATCCGCAAAGAATAGCACAAGATCTGCCAGCTTACATATATGATATAACAGTTGACGTAGTTTAGACAGTATCACAGAACACTAGTTTCATATAGAAGAAAGATAAGAACACAAGCCATTTTTATTAATAGCAAACGATTTAAAAGGTACAATGAATATCTCCCCAATTTTATAGAATTTTAAATATTCTGCTTTTCTACTAGCCCCCCTTCTCCACTAAACATAATTGATATTTTCTAAGCTAAACGTGTAAGTAAGACAGTGAATAATAAAATACATGCACATTGAAGCAGATATGATGATACAGTGACGAAAACAATCACAACAATGACAGTAAGCTAAAAGTTAAAGATAAGCAGAACAAAAATAAAACTAAATATATTGTGTGCCTGACGAAAAATGGATACTCTACACTTCAACAAGAACATATGCAAAGAATAGAATGAAGAGATATCTTAAAGTGTCATTACACAGAATGATGGATAAAAGTAGTGCCAGGAACCAGTGAAGTGAATTTCCCATCCAATTTCTATAAAGCATATAAGGAAGTATACCAAAGAACAAAAGAATTAAAAAATAGACGCGAAAAAACAATACACATTAGATGATTATCAGAATGAATGGTGAGTCAAACTGTCTAGATATCAAGAATATTACTCTTTATCTGTAGTAGTCTATCACAAGATAAGGAACAGAGAAGTTAGCGGACCAAAAAAAGGACATTGCCAAAAGTATCTCTTAAAATATTTACTGAGAAAAAAAGTCAACGAAACCAGAAAATGCAAAGCATAATGCGTGAAAAGTAACGAGAATAAGATATTTATTTAAACAAATAAAATATAAATATGAGATAAATGGTCTGTTGTAATGCAACTGAATTAATGACAATAATTAACACTGATAAACATGGATAAAACAATTGATTTTAGTGATATTTACTAATCATTAACACTGTCTAGACCACAGGAATTCTGAATTTCATAAAAACACGCGGTAGGATCAGGAGGTTGATGATTCCAAACAGCAGAGGGCAAGTTTAAATCTTCCATTGGTATCCATTTGTAGCCGACATTACGTGACATCTGAGGAAGAAATAAAAATAAAAACAATATGTGATTAGTAACTTAAATGTTATTTCAAGAATGAATACAGGTGTGTGTGTATTACTTTAGTGAATGAATTTTAAATAGTTGTATCGCTTCTAATACTGGAATTGAATATTTTAGCGCCCATGGCTGATTGCATAACGATGGAATGCTTTTGACATTAATAAAATACATCCTATTTACTTTTGAGGTATTTTGTTGACAAATTCCGTTGATAAAAACGTAGATACGAAAATTGGACTATGAAAGGAAATGAAGAACGTATATTTCAGAAATCCGATGATACAGGAGAATGACAAGTGACGAAACGAAATGAATTTGGACTAGAATGGCAAAAATAACCAATTCAGTGAATCAAAGACTTTGTATTAATCAAAAGTATTTTGCAATACAAGTTATCTAACCTGACAACGTTTACGGGATTTCATAAGAAATGTTAGTTTCTCAATCCTTATTATCAGTTTTTCAAACTTAGTGTCACAGAAATATCGTTAAACAACATAATTTAACCTCCGAATTTATTCAGGACTACAGTTTATTCCTGAATCTTTGAAATGGCAAAAAATACTTCAAGGTAAAATTCATCTTTATCCACAAAATCTTTAATATTGCAGTGAATTTGTGGAGCTTGCTTAAATCAAAGGTAACTCACAACGCAAGTTATCAAACTGATTACAATTTATTGACTTTCCACAGATTGAAATCATGAGTCGGTTGAAGATAGACTACCATGGGAAACCTGGAGGCATTAACATTGTTAGATGCCGGCTCAGTGGTCTAATGGTTAAGTGCTCGCGCGCGAAGCCAGTAGGCCCTGGGTTCGAATCCCACGGGGTGCGGGATCGTGGATGCGTGCTGCTGAGAAGTCCCACACTAGGACGAAACGGCCGTCCAGTGCTTCCAGGTTTTCAACTGACTCACGATTTCAATCTATGAAATTTCTAAAATCTCCACAAACCCCTTCTGATAATTTTCAAGACTTGTTGTCGATTTTTCGACCTTAATATTGCAGAGATATAGCTATCTAATCTCACTGTAGATCTATTCACTCTAAAACTTTCCTCCTGAATCAAACACTTATGAATACTTCTAGAGAAAATTCATCACCATTTGCAAAATCTTTATTAATATATACACCGAAGAGGCACGGAGGTGAAATTATAAGAGAACCGTCGTTCTTGCCATGTTAATATAGAGAATTGACGCATGGAAATTGTCATTCATTCTAGCACTCCGACTTCACCAGCTCACCCTTTGATTTAATTGACTGTAGATATCACAGTTTTTACTAAAACTTTGGTAATCAACTAATGACAAAGCCAGTTCAGTGTGACTACATGATTATTGGTGATTAAAATAATTGTATGGACTACAGAAGATGAATATGTACTACTGAAGGATCCGAAACATTAATTGTTCAATGCTGTTGTGATTTCCAGTTGACATTTTATCCGAAGATTACTTCCAACAATATGAAACAATTGAGATGAAACCATTTAGCTTAACAAGTTACTTGATTTATTGCAATCTCATCATGTGAAATGTTGTCTTATATCTCACGAAGCAGGTACAGTGACGAATTTCCTATATAAGTGCATTAGTATGGGGTGATGATCATTATAATTTATATCACATGAGTATTAACTCAGCCTATTACTTTTTTCATAACCAACCAGTATATCAAGTTTGCGAGTAAAAAAAAAATTGTAGTTCTGATATTTCGTGAAGTAATGTAAGTCACTACTTCAGAGTAAATAACGACTAATATATCATACATTGCTTTGTACTTGATAAATTGTCTTTTGAGATGTTGGAGAAGATTTGTAGCTCATGTGGATGATTTTGATAGAGTTTTGTTCTCTGAAATTTGTGCTGATAATATCATTCAGAAGAACGATGAAAGCTCCACAACTAAATCATTCAGTTTAGAGAACAAAACTCCATCAAAAATGATAAATTGTCTCTTCAAATTCTTATCTCCTTAAAATAATCATCATATTCTAAACAAATCATGAGGATTGTGTATGGAAATACAAGCATATTTACAACAAATAAGAATAAACAACTATTTCCTAACAAACAAATCGATGTAAACACATGTGATCATAGTTTACCATAGAATTGTTGTATAACATTTAAAATACAAAACAAATTTGTGTTAATCATATGAGGCCTTTTCTATTGAAAATGTCATACTTATAAATATTACACATTAATTTATTAGGAATGTGTAATATAAAACAAGACGAATAAATCTTATGTTTCCTACATTTATAAACATTGTCAACTTTAATCATAATCATGTCTATAGTTTGTTCAAAATTGTCAGTTAAGAAACCGAAGGAGTAAATTGCGAACAATCAAATCACAAATTAAACAGGTTCTATGTGTCTGCCTGTTTTATTCCTATTTTCCATAGGGAGATATGCTTAAACAACTAGAATAATGTGAAATGACAATATTCAAGTTATTTATCATCACATAATATAACTGAAGTCAACTAAAGGTCAATCTTTCAAAATATAAAAGTAACATATGTATAGTTATTTGAACCAAAACTAGGCATATTTATTTGAATAACTATGAAAGGGATTTTTCCATGTATTTCATAGGTTTCCGTTAAAACAAACCCCAAGACCATTTGTGAGTAATGAATTCACGTCTTGCTACACTACTATTCAATCGTGTTATAAAAAATCCCCACGCATATAGGATTTAAGATGTATTACATTTAACGTGCAGGCAATTATAATACGGTTGTCCAGTGCTTTCAGGTTTTCAATAGTGATCTAACATTCATTCATTCATGATATCAATTTAAAATGATAAAGAGGCAAGTTTATTCATAGAAATCATTGTTCAAACTGAATGATACATTGAATGTGAATTCAATGTTTTAATTACATATTGTTTATAAGAATCTTTGGATATTAAACGAAATATACACAAAAATAACAGTATTGCTAACAAATTAGTTACTTTTAAGTTCATCAAGGACTGATTTATTTTTTAGAATTTTTGTGTGTGGTAAAATTCATGAAAATGTCAGTTATCAATATTAATGATACAACTGGACAATTATAAATACTTTCCAATACAATGAATATTACCATGCTAACTTTTCAATGTTATATGGAGACTATCATCAACTGAATATACATTTCTCATCTATACATGAGAACATATAATACATAGTAGAAATAAGGATTGTCACTGACTACTGATATTTGTTCCACTGTGACTAGAAATGTACAGAAATTTGTTGGAAATTATTTAGAATAAGAGAAAACAGAGAAACTTATCTGCTTTAATATTGATTATTTCGACACAATAATGGGACAAGAGATAGAATGAGACAAAAACACCAAGTTACAGATGGGAGAAGCTGTGAAAAATCTATTTAAAAAAAGTCTTGTTAATAAATTTTGAGATTGTGGTAAGGACTTGTAACTGTGGTGGTTAATTTTAATGAAATTTATTCTCTCAGTTGAATAACCTGATCGTGAAACTTTCACTATCTTTATAGACAACATTATCAGCTCAAACTTCAAATTTGTAGCTTACTCCTATTTGAAGTTTGTCTTGACGATGACACCAAGAAAGATAATGAAAGCTTGACGATTAAACTATATAGATTAGAGGACACAATTCCAATCAAATTGTGAATAAATACAACATAGTTGCATTAAAAATAAATCATCCAGCAATCAATCAAACAGGAAACTTATTTTTTTAATTAAGTAAATCAATTTGATCAATTTATAAAGAAGAAAACACTTCTGATAACATACACAACACTTCACAATTGTCAGATAATGTCAAGATTATTAAATAATGTCTAAGAATTTGAAAAACAAGCGACTATACAAAGTAGATATTACATTCAAGTCAATCATATATAGACCTAATAATTTCATACACATATATACAAACTTAAAGACGAACAAAGATTAACTAAATAACCATGCAGAAAGACAACTGATTTAATCATTCTATTGTAAATGACACAAAGAAAAATAGAAGCAAATATGTGACATGATATTTATAGAGAAAAACAAAATCATAATTATTGAAAGGAACGTACTGACTCTAGGCATTATTACTAATATTTAGATTCTGAGTGTCTTCTTCTAATATATGATAAATTAACTTAAGCTATGTTAAAACATTAAGAGGGGAAAAATTGGATCAGCATGTAGAACATGCACCAAATACAAGTTTATATATTCGGCTTTCATTTAGAATCTGTATACGATAATAAGTATTGATAATCCTGTTCAACCAAGTTGATAAGTTCAATGTTAAATAGAAAAGGAAACTAATGTTTACAGTTATTTCCATATATGAACTAATTTTAAGTAACAATAACTATATATATGATTTATGTGGTGCATGTGTATTTGGTGCCCTTTTGTACCAATAGTCATGTGTTTAAATAAATAAACTCTTCTACAGCACTCATTCGACTCATCCCCAAATCAACAAAAGAATAAGATTGAAACAAAAAAATATTCCGAATAAGCGAAACAATATGGTAAAAGTATAAGAATTTATATCGAAATTATGAGAGAAGAGTTCAGTACATTTTTTTTTCACAATCTTTCTATTAGGATTGATTAATCGAAAATCAGCCAATTAAAATGCTCTGATTTGGTCTTCTATTCAGAGCATGCAGTTGTCATAATTCTATTCTTATAACAGAATGACATTGAACAATGAAAAACTAATGAATGATACTAAGCTCTGAATTTAAAAGAAAGGAAGATAGAAGAAAAGGAAAGTAACTGGAGTATTATAACAAAAATCTTGAATAAAACCAATCACTTGTTAAGCTTTTTTTTGCTTAAGTACAACCTTTGAAACAGTTAAGAATGATTTTTAATGATAATGAATTTATAATAAATTACAATGGTTATTGATATAACTATTGAACCTGTAATAGTGAATGAAACCAATGTTTTATTTTGTTATCCTTAGAGATGAACTATAATAGTCCCGAACTATAAATAGTTGAGAGTCAGTCAGTCAGCTACAACGTAGGACCAGGCACATATGTGCATCGGTCCAGGTTGCCATAAAGCATCAGCACAACAAGATGAACACCGGATTCATAGCAGTGGTTAGGTCAAAGGTGGTAATATATAAGAGAAAGATGGCATATAGAGATATAGTACAAGAAGAAAGAATTGGTTCGTAGAAAGAAAGATATGAAGTGATTTTAATTTCTTAGTTTAAGGGAAGACAGAGAGTGTATACACCGACGCCATTGTGATCGATTCTGAGCCAAGTCACCAAGAGTCTCCAACCATTGGTTACGATAGTCACGCGAACCCCAACCAAGTAGTCTGCATCTACCAACAGTTGAGAGACTATTCTTCATAGGAAATAAGATCAATACCAATTAGATAGGCTTAGTGATTAATATACAACAATTTTACAATAATTATTTATGAAATGAAAGTGAGATAATTTTTGTAATAGTGATATATTATTGATAAAATCATATCTGAATTCATTTAGTTACATAACAATTAAGTTCAATGAGTATTAGTTACAAAAATTACATTAAAAACGGAATAATTTTCATTTGAATGAAAAATCATAGAGAATTAATATAAAATTTAACAAGTTAATCAGAATCAATTCTCGTGATAAATGATCATTCGTGTTATGGATCATTAATTAATCAATGAAATTTGTAATGAGAATTCATTACTATTACACTAATAAATAAAATCTCAATAGTTGAGATTATGAGTCAATTGAAGCTAGACCACCATGGGAAACCTGGAAACATTGGACGGCTTTTTTGTCATGTTGTAGAATTCCTCAGAAGTGCGCATACACGACCCAGCCTCGCCGGATTCGAACCCAGAACCTATCAGTCTAGCTTCAATTGACTCACGATTTCAACTATTGAAATTACTAAAATCTTCACAAAACTCCTTCTGATACTAATCAACGTATGCTCACTAGTGACTGGCTCCAACATGTATATCCTGGAGTTCTAGTGAGAAGCAGTGACCATTGGAGTTCAACTGGGTCAGTTGTGCGATAGTAACTCACTGATGACAATGGTGGATGTGTCGCTTAATTACGGGGATTATTTGAAGTTAGACGTTAACTGTTGGATGCCAGGTCAGTGGTCTAGTGGTTAAGCGCTCGCGCGCGAAGCTGATAGGTCCTGAGTTCGAATCCCGCGATCGGGATCGTGGATGCGCACTGTTGAGTCCCGTAATAGAACGAAACGGCCGTCCGCTGCTTCCATGGTGGTTTAGTTTCAACTGACTCATGATCTCAACTATTGAACTTACTACAATATCTACAAAACCCCATCTGATACTAATAAATAAAACTCATTATTATATGATTGAGAAAAAAATGCTCTTTTTTCGTGTTCAATTTACCAAACTTTAAGAATTTGCTACTTAAAAATAATTAAAAGTTAGATTTTAATATAATTTATAAGAAATGCATAATAACAATTATAAAACTATAAGGAAAAGTATTAGAACAAGAGATAAGAAGGTGATGTTATTGTTACGTACTTAGCTTATATGATTACCGCGAATACGACTACGAAATTTAGATACTCGAATTTATATAACCAACAAATGACGCGTACACCTGAACAAACGGCTTAGAATCCCGATTGATCATTTTCCCTACATGTTAAGTCCGAAACACCAATCTGAGCTTCCGCGATATAAATCATACATTTCAAACACACTGGGTTTATATACAATCCAAACAGATCACATCACACCACAAAATAGAAAATATTTGTACCCGATCTAGCCAAAAGTGGTTATGATTTTGGGAGGCTGTAATTAATAAAATAAGCAAAACTTATTTATTTAAACACAGGGAGACACCAAACAGATATGCGCCACAAAAATCATTCGAGTTGTGTGCGGCCTAAAATAGTTCCCGGTCGTCCAGACCGAAGCAGGTGGTTTTCTTTGGTGGGCCACTCCCCTAGCCTTCGACCTAAAGGTCTGGTCCACAAGGCAGTGGAGTGACGTTAGGAGATGCAGCCCCATGGTAGGTGGTGACCAACAATAGGTTCACACGCCATCGTGGATCCCTTGTGCACCATTGGTTTGGAATCAGGGGTTTCCAACTTCCCTAGGTGGATCCTACATATCCACCAACCCGGTTAAAGCGCCGGGCATTTGCTTATCGTCCTCTCAATTTCATAAACAACACCCCTGCGTGAGAAGGCATAACTTAATAGTGAATGGTATAATGAAAGTTTATAATAAGAGGAATATGAATATACATAGTTTAGTTACTTAACAATTATACAATAAAAATATATGCATAGTATTAGTCCATTAATAGATCCCAACAGTTCCCATTCATTATTTTCGTTGGGATATAACAATTATGTTTTAACTTAGCGTGATAATTTGTTAGCTTTAACTTTCGTTTTATCTCGGTTATATGATTTTTGTTCGTAAGTATTTATTCATTGTGAATTTCGTTTTATATAACATGACGAATGTGCTTTTTTAGTAATTTTGTGCTAAATCTATTAGTGTACCCCCTCATATCGGTTACATATAATGTTAATGTTGAGAAGATCCACAAAAATTCCTTGAAAAAAGCCCAAACGGGCCCTGAAAACTCTGGGAAACATTTTATCTAATCACCTAACAATAGAAGTTTCTTCGAAACATCTTGAAAGTGAAGAGTAACGTGTCACTTTTCTAAATGGGTAAGTGCCTATTCTGCTACTATGTTTAGAGGGGTTTCGGAACTTCTACGATTGAGCATCATAAAATTCAGTCATTAAGCCTAAATTCGATGATACGTATTTCCTAATTTCAATTAATCCATGAAATGATGTGGAACTACTCAATGTTATCTTTGAATAAATGCATGATTTTCACCTTCATAAATCACGATTTCAGAACAAAAATTCCGGAAATTCACTGAGGAACGTAAAAAATCGAATTTTACCAACTCAATGGTTGGATAGTATTGTGGTTATCGCGAAATTCAAAAATAAAAATAGTAAATGAATTAGATTAACACAAGTCTAAATACTATAAAAGACACAAAGCAGAATATTTTCAGTACAATCTAAATTAAAATAGATTTGATTATATTAACATTGTCATTTCAGTCACGGTTACTTTTTTGTGTGAAACCTAGCTGTGTGTAATTATGTGTTCGTGAGTGAAGAAAATGTGATATTTGTAATGTGGAAGAGTAACGTCAGGAATATATTTGTTAGTGGTGTGAAACGTGAATAGAATTAGTTGTGCGAATATTTGAGTAAATGGTCCATTTTGGATGGATAGTTAGACGTGCTTTTCTCCTTTCTAGTTCTAGAGGGTTATTTGAAAGTGTTTTTGTGTGTTCTTTGGCATCAGTCATGATTTCATGAGAAGACTGTCCAGTATAGAATAAATCACTATCTAAACATCACAGTCTGTAGACATAATTCTGTGTGATCTAAGGATTCTTTGTAATTCTTCTGTTATGCCATGATGATATGGCAGAACAACAGGAACAAACCTTTGTACTATATAAACTTGTGTTAATTTATTTTCGTTCTCGGAAGAAGTGGTGGTTTACATTAAGTTCTGAATGTTCTAAGTCTTGTTTCAATTAAAAATCTTTAAACTTTCGTTAATTACTTGTTATTCATTCCTAATCATTTAGTTATTACAACTTAAAACGATATATTCATTCAAAAAAAAAGAGTTCTAAACTCTTGTATTTTAGGTTATTTAAAAATTCTCTCATTCAATCTAGCTTTATTATTCATAAGTGGATTACTTCAAATACTATTCAACTTTGAACTACTATTATGTCAACGCTTCGAAATAAACTTTACCTAACGTAGATTACATGAGTTAGCCAACAGTATATAATAACTATAAATCTCAGTCTGCAGAGAGTGAATAAACCTAAGAACGTTTATTTAATGACTTTCTTAATTCCCTTTATTTTAGATTAAAGTTGTAGAAACAAGTCCAAATACAATCATTATTTCGGTTCCAATCAATTTAAGATATAGAAAATGATATCAAAATGAAAATATTATTGAGGAATACGACAGAGAAAAAAATGACGACGAATTGAAGAAACATCTTACATTAATTGTTTTTCTGTGAAAAACAATTTCACTTTAGTCAAAATAACAATATTCAATGTTATAATGGTATGAAAAAAAAAGATTAAAACTAATTTCTACTATTGTGTTCATTTATTACGAATCAACTTATTTTTTGTGACTTAATTTCTCAATTATGTGTAGAGTACAAAAATTCATATCAAGGTAGTTCTCAATACCAAAAACATCTCTTTTAGTTAGGATAAGGTAATCAGTCACCAACTATCCACAGTTTCGCAGACCAGCTTATGAATTTTATAATTTAATGTATATGTCGCAAAGTTTCTACTCGAATATCTATACCTTTGTCAGTGGAGTAATTCAAATTTATAAGAGCTACTAGTTGGAAATTGTGAATATTATGTTACAATATCAAATGTTTGAAGACTTACTAAATCGAACAGATCCACTCCTAGTCTTCCCTTAGTACTCGAGTCTCGGAATCTTCTCATACCTTTTATTTCTTTTTCTCTACCTAATCGTCTCTAACACCACTGATACTGCTTAATACTCTTCAATTTATCTCCAAATAATTTTATTTCGCTGTGTTATTGTGGGACAGCAACTTGAACCAGTGCATGTATGTGTCAGGTTATTTACATTGCGTATGACTGAATGACTTATTTCACCAAGATTCATGTTGATTTAATCTATAATACACATCGCTTGTAGTAAATATACTTGAACAGAAAAAGTAATGCACAGGTTACTAATTTGTTATATACTTTTATTCAACATGTAGAGATAAATCAATTAGATACAGATAACACTGTTTTGATATTTCAATTACTCACTTCATTTAAATTCTCATCCAAATTAAATGGCCAAGATTGATCATCAATAGAAATACAACAACTAGGAATACGAAAAGATTTGAGTGATGTACCACGAAGAGCTGTAAAAGCTTTCATATCCACAATATTAAACCAGTAACCTTTAAGTAAAAGCAAAATAAAAGTCACATTTAATATAAAATTATAAAATAATAGAACGTGTGGAAAAATACACATTAATGACACTGATCAATCTACAACTGCATGGTTAGTGTCTGTAGTGAAGAGAATACGGAAATAACAAACAATGACAGCCAAGTTTTGGGGTATTAGTTCGCTTACTTCCTAATCAATACTTATTAACATTTAGTTTATATAACTGTCTTATTTCTTTAATCACAGGCTTCCGTTTAATCTATAATCTATTGTGATTAAAACGCTAGTCTTGTATCTCATTTTCTTGGCATCTTGGCATATACTAATATCTTTTTAATTTATTGTGATTTACGGTCCAATTATTCACACATTTGATCATGTACTCCTTTGAGCTAAATTGTCTTCGAATACAGATGTATCTCCTCTTGCCAATCAATCACTGCTAGCAGAGATCATTCATCAGCAAATAGGATGGTCCTCCGCCTGCAAATTAGCTATATATCGAACATCTTCAAGGTTATACTAAGTAACCTGACACATCAAGGCCGTTAACTAAATTTGAGACAAATCTCCCTGCATACCTATCAAAAGAACCAGTGGGCAGACTGAGGTTACAACAGCGTTGTTACAATATTAATAGATGAATAGGTATTCATTCACAACCCTGTTTTTTTACGAAAGTGATGAGACAGCGAATTTCACAACGGATACTGTCTGAATACTTAGTTGTTTCATTTATGAATAACGCGAACATATCTCGATTCAATAGGAATAAAAAGGCCGTGCCATACAAAGTCAGATGGTAACATTACGAAATAAAATACGGAGAAGTCATATAATCTACATAAAATGGATAGGTATAGAATAGTATTTATTAATAGACACCGTTCGATCAGGAAGGTGACCACGGATAGGATTTCGCTCACTTAAGAAATCGTATCTTACTTTTATGGAGAACACAATAATATGTTATAGTGCAGAATCACCACTGGCTCCAATTATGAGTCACATTTGGTAACGTTTCAGGTTACTGGATTGTGATATATTGGATCCCACTTATAGAACTGTCCTGTCATTTATTTTACAATATTTAGGACATTGGAACCGATTCTGAGCCATTGCATTCAGTCTTTAGTAACTTTCTAAAGCAATAATCAAGTAGAACTAAGTTGGCCCGACCGTTGTTGCTACCTTGAAGTGGTGGTCGGGCTTGCCTATCGTGATGAAGCAACCGAGCTATACTGACTGGAACAACTGTTCCTCAAGGTCCTACCACGTCAGAAAGGTCGGTTGAAGAGCGGTAAGAGTAAAAGCAACAAACCCAAGGTCCGAAGGCGAAGTCGTACTGCTGACTGTACAGAGGTGTGACAGCAGTAAGGTGTTTCCTTCAAACAACCAGCATGACAGCGATGCTGCCTTCCCACAAGGAGGGGTGGGGTTAGAAAAGGTCGACCCTAAAAATGCACACCTCGCCTTATCCCACGGATATCCGTCTACGGCGGTAAGGTCTCAACAAGTACGGAGCTAACACAAAAATTGCTCATAAAAAGGTCGTGTGTGACCGACCTCAAGCAGTTGTCCCTTGGGCACTGCGGTCACGCTCCCAGGTCACTAAGACCACTTCTAATCCGATTTCCTTTTCAGGTACCTCCAGAAGAACCCTTCCACGGTGTGGGCAACCGGGAATTGATAACCGCCCTCATACCTCTAAAAGCACTCAAGACCACTGTATTCATAAGAACTAAGTTGGGTAGCCTCAGTCTATCAACACAGCTCAATCCCATGGTCAATGTCCCCTTGGACTGATTCCACTTCTTGGTTCAAGAGTCCCTAGATTCCTTCCAATCTACCCCTACATCAACAAACAACCACCGTCGAGGAATTTTATGGTTCGGTATACGTAATACATGCCCCCCCCAAAAAAAAGAACACCTGACCTTATGAAAATTTCACTACTCCATCGATCAATTTACGATTCCGTACCTATTATACTGAGTCTAACCCCAGTTATGCTAACTCAGCGGTCCCAACAAACGAGCACTGTATCGAAAACAGCTATGGTTGAACACTAGTAACCTACGAATATCCTGTTTCCAAAAACTGTATTTCATAACAATAAAAAATAACAGAGCAAACTGTTGTATAATATAATAGTCCCTTGGTCGACACAGGAACATCTCCCCCACAACACATGTGACACAGGTTGGCAAAAGCCAACCGAGTTTTCTGAACTAGTCCCAATATTCCAATAGACACATACTCAACAGGGCTGACGAAACTTCCAAGATAAGTGGAGTGGTGGACAAGTAAATTTCCTAGTATGAAATCAATCAACGATGATATCAACAGAATTATCGTTGCTAATCCTTAACACATATTGGTGGACCTCGAAACTATTAGCGCCGTTCTCAAATGAATATCCTGATCTCGGATGGGTTAGGTTTTACAACCATAAAGTGAAACTGCCCCTATTAACATATTGTGCCCTCAACCTTTGACAGTCAGTTGTGATAGATCAAAAGATATTCCAGACTGGTATGAGCCGATTCGGTCCTCGCTAACCAACTGCTCTGTAAATCGTACAGAACATTTGGACAGAAGACTACGCATGAGTTGGTCGATAAATACACAGGGTCATTTTTGAGTAACTAAAACATTAGATTACAGTCTCACATGTTTTGACACACTCAATTTCATCAACATTACATATTAATATTAATTCAATTTAAACGGTCAAACTATTTGACGAGTAAGGGACGGTTTCCGTGAATTTAATTTTACTGGATGTGAAATTGTGTTTTCATGTACCTTAGTTCCCCTAACCCTTAGATCAATCAAAAAAGTAATTCCCATGGTCTAATGGAGAACTTGCTTTCAGAATAAAAACCATCAAATTCAAAAGGGCAGCATTTCACAAATTTTATTAACACCATCATGTTGTTTCACATGTTTACATCGAACAGCGAGGCGGACAATATGCTTTGAGATATGTTTGTTGGCGTCGGATTTCTAACCAAGGAACAGTCAGCCAGACAGCCAACAGTTGACGGGAATCAAGCTTCCTGTTATTTTACTATATTAAATAGCCATTGCAAAGAGAGGGATTTTTATATTAAATATGTATAGAGAATAAAAAAGAATCCGTCAACGGCCGATATCTTCATCAAGTCGAGGTATGTTTCTCCAAATATCCTGTATATACTAAACTAGACATGCTATTAGATATGTTGGTTCTCTGTAAATGTTCATATGGCAAATGGGTTCACAACCGCACGTTGTTCATGAGCAAAGTTCATGGTTCCGTCGTCTGACAGACCAAATGTAGAGCACTCTACCTTTACTGTTGTCGGGAGTTGCAGCATTTATACCAATCGATTCCGTTTAAGAAACCTACGGAGAACAACTTGCACAAGATGTCTGGGGTATGCGTCATCCTTTTTGGAAAATCAAACCTCCCAGGTTTGTTTAGTAGTTTTCATAATGTTTTGAAACCTTCGCAGAGCATATCATGCAGCTGGAAGGCGAAGCACAGACGTGGTGTGGCGTATAAGGTCAGCTGCAGTACTATTTCTTCTGTACATGGGATACGAATAACATAGCTTGCCGGTTTACAGACATCACAGGAATTGGTGGCACCTTAAATATAATGAAAAAATACCGTTCTACGAGTTAGTAACATTGGATACATCAATGAGGGAGACACCAGTAGCCTTTGGATTTATAGTTGGCGAGACATCTTATCTTATTGAAAGGTTTTTAGCCTTTTTTTGTGCCTTTCTGGTATACTGGTAAGACGCTTCAGTAGTGACAACAGCCCTGTCATTGGCAATGCTCTAAGTGGAAACTTCCTGGCTGCACACCACACTTTGTGCAGATTTCACATCATACGGAACGTTATCGAGAGAGTAAGTAGGTTTCTAAGATGGCTCCCGATGATTATGACAATGAAGCCAGTGCAGGGTGCTCAACAGTGAATGTTCATCGCTTAACAAGAATAATTTAATTCACATGAATTCGTAAAATATTGGAACCGATATTAAATTTAGTATTTTTAGTATTTTCTTACAACTCTAAAAAATAATAATCATGGTAATCATTTCATTAGTAGCATAAAATAGATGAATTTGAACTTCATGATAGTTTGTATCCAGTTCACTGCAGTCTATTATTATATTTATTCATGATTAGTAATGTTCGTTTATAAGTTGACCTCTTTCTAATTGTTATCAGGAAAATCAATGGAATCAGCTGACCTTAATATTCCGCTACAGCTTGTTAGGATTTATGTAAGATTATATTTAACACAATTGTAATATAGTCTTATCAGTTGGTAATTCTCTTAGAGTACTGATTCTTCAAACCATATTAATTGTCTGACATGAATTCAATATGTTCACTTAAAATATTCATACGGTATGAGGTAAACTTTCTAAAGTGTGTTTACGCTTGAGTGATTAGTACATGTGATAAGCACAAATCCTGCTTATCAAATATGACAAGATAAAAAATTATCCTGTAGTATGATACATTCATACTACGTGGTTTTCACGTCACGATTGACTCTAGCTAGAAACTATTCTGTGTATTCAAAAAATACACGCTAGTATTTAAAACATCAAAAAAATCCTTAACTGTTAATGGTTATCTTCTGCGTTCAGTTGCAATAGTAAATTAACCTAGGTCCCTCACCAGAATAAATTCCCTTTAAAAACTTGTTACTATTATCAAGAGCATTTGATTAAAAATGTCACTCACATAGTTGAATACGGGCATAACTGATTGAAGACATCTTACTGAATGGTTTATTCAAATACGAATGGTACTTAACTCATTTCACTGTAGTTTAGTGGTTTCAAGGAACTTCTTTGTACTGCAGTCATATGAATATATAATTTGTCATATTAGTTATTTTCATCTAGTTTTCTGTGTATTCAACTTTTCTTGATAGATCGTTTATTGAGAAAACCATCTGACTTGTTTCGTTAAGTCATATATTTTTTAAAAAGTATAACATATTAGCTTACTTGTAAGTGCTCAAGTCATCATTATGTTTATATACAAAAATTCTATTACAATTTTATAATGTGCTACTATTTACAATATTACATTTATTACTTCTGTACTATTGAGTTTACTTAATTATTTTAAGATTTGAACAACCGGCTTAAGAGTAACCTCATTGGTTAAACAGATTATAGGAGAAAACAAGCACATAACCAATCGAATAAACCTCCTTAGGGGCAGAAGAATTATAAGTTTAGACACACATCGCATTCGCGTATGCAGTTGTTCAGGCTAATTTGACTAGTAATATGAATTCTATAAACAATTTGGAAAGAAATTACTTACCAATTAGTGTAAAATGCGACAATTGTTGACATCTCCATGCTAACATAACAAACGGATCAGGGTTGACATCATCAGGCGCTTTATACAAATTTGGTGAGTAAAAAACAAGATTTGATGAAGTAGATGATTGTGGAGCCTCGGAAAAATTGGAATAATAATTACAATCGTAAGGTAAATAATCACAATAATCATTAACATTGGTTTTAGTTGTATTGATACTATCATGAGTAGAAATGAGAGCTGAATGAGATACAACGCTTGTATCACTACCACCACCCTTATCGATAGCACTTTCCTCACATGCAGTTGATTTCATTATGCTCAAACTATCATTCCCATTTTTTGGTAATATAATTTCTGAATTAGACGAGTATTCAATTTGTTCAACCATCTTATGAAGTGATATTGGTGCTATCAATGATTGGTGTATTTGATCACCAGACAAACATGACCCTGACGGTACCGGTAAAGACGAAGATGATGAAGTCAAAGATAGACTGGTTGAAACGGGCAACAAAAAATTACCTGAGTAATAATTATTATTACTACAACTTTTGTCTTCATAATCAAATAGATCATAGGAAGAATCACAGCTCAATATATCAAAATCACTTGTACTATCCAGTAATAATGAATGATGTGAGGAATAAGAACTGAACATTGACTGATAATCAGAGTCAACACAGTCGTAATTATCATAATTAATAACAGCATCATAAGAAATTGTTGCTGGTGTATTGGCAATAAATCTAATGATATTGCCATTACTATTATTATTATTATCACTACTAGTAGTAATGGTAGTATATTCCGTATAATGAGAATTATTATGTAAAATACCGTTAGAATTGTTTGACATCACAGATATTATATTGAAAGTATCAATTAGATAGAAATGCTCTAAACTCATAGCAAATGTATCCATTAAATATTGTATAAGATAAGACAATGGATCTGGTTTACAATAGTATATATAAATTGAATTTAAAGGCAAAGCAGAAGGCAAAAGTTTGGTTGAAAGTAATTGATAAATTTGATTCTGTTCACCATATGGATGATGATCCTCCCTTAAATGTTGTTCACGTTCATTTTCCAGTCGACATTGCACCGGTATATGCGGTGAAGATGAAGACGTTGGCGATGAGGATGTAGAAGTGACAGAATGGGATGGTGACATCGATGAATATGATGATGGTAGTGGTAACTGATTATCAAGTTCTTGAGTAGTATTTTGTATGAAAGACATTCGTTGATTGATTGAATTCGAATGGATTGTTGATTGTTTGAGATCGTTTACACAAATTAGGAATAAAGTCACACGCAAATTAGGAAGTATTTCATGCACATGTCTCCAAATTTGATTTCTGGGATAGATGGGGAGACAAAAAGAAACTAGACTAGAGTAACAGTTTAACTGGAAATAATGATGAAAAACAGTTGCTACCATCAGCTGGCTACACGTAGTCGAGATCAAAACGTCAATAATGAACAGCAGATTCAAGTCAGTCATAATTAACGTAGCATGGGGTTATAAAAGTTTCCTCCCCCAAGCTGTTACATTAAATCAGAGCATCAAAGTGAAATTAATAAGATAAATAGCCGAGGAACTTAAACAATAGCGTCGATAATGGTTGAAGAGGCTAAATACAGTTTACTACTCCAACAAAAATTTACAGATAATGCGTTGTGGTTATCATCATCGACAACACAGTACATTTAATCGTTTAGCTAATTATTTGGATGTCTTATTTTTTTTCAAAACCACACATGCACTGACAATGTCGATTTGTATCTATCAATCAGCATGATTAATTTAATCCTGACCGTAAGGCTATATATATGAATTTGGATAATCATAGCATGCAAACAAGTACACATCTTTACATAACACAAGATGAACACACTTCACACCAAATGATGACCGATATTCATAACTCGACATGTAGGCAGGATTGGACAACTGTTTTGTAAACTGTTTTTTTCGTGACCTATTTACATTTGGTCACTGATTATTTCCCTGGCGAAGCTTGGAACCGACTATAGAGTGAAGAGCTAAAGGTATCTTAATTCCAATCTGAGATTAAGGGGCTTATACAGCGTTAACAATACATTTAGTTGTTGCTGTCATCAGTATATGACAATTTAAGAAATTAGGACACGGTGTTCTAAAATCTGAGTAATAGCCCAAAAGCCCTTTATAAACATACACCATCTACCTAGACCGACAGATACATGAAACCTTGCATAATCAGACATGAGGTTACAGAACAGTATCCAGAAAGAATAATGAGATGACGTTTTTGGGAAAGATAAACATTGAGGGTATCCAACATACTTATCCATAAAAACTCCCATTTCATTTGAAATCATTCGATCTTTATGAATGATAGCCAAAATCCTACGTTCGCCCCCTAATACTTAGACAAAAATGTGTCATTAATTTCAAGTTTTCGTTTGACCAACCAGGTCTCTAGTGTCAAATACATTAAAAGACTCAGTAATTCAACGTACTTAAAATGTGTAATAAAATAATTACAAAACAGCTTGATATTCCTAGTAAGTCAGTCGGTTACTTTTGATTCAGGAAATCGCATGAATGTCTACTGATCTAAGTTTCTACATGAAATCGGCACAATAAGAGAGAGAAGTAGTAAGAAAAACACATCAGAGAAACTAATTTCAACTGATATGGAAACAGTATACTATACAACTATTTAAAATCATAAAACTCACCGAATTATGGGAAGATCTTGAACACTGTTTTGTACAAAAAGTTTTAAAATACGAAGATGGTTTGAATTTCTCGATAAAATTAAAAGTATATCCTCCGAAAGATTTAGGTAATTAATAGAAAATTGGTTGAGGTTGGAAAATATAAATAATCTTGTATTTAAATATGACATGGATTGATTAATTTGAAATAATCTGATAATTTGTAATGATAATAAATTATGCTTTTGATTTTTTGTCAATGATTGTAATACACGACTGACTTCATAACTTCCACAATAAGTCCCACCCCAATAAAAATTTTTTAAACATTTAGCATTCATAATGACCTCACATAATGCATTTATTATTCTGAAGTTTAAATGGGAAAAAGAATATATAATAACATACTTTTAAATACATAAAAAGTAAAAATAGATAATTACATGGTCGAATATTAAAAAACATCCTTATAGCTTAGAATACAATGAAAATGTGTTTCTCTACCAAACAGTAACGGCGTAAATTGGTAGTTGAGCCATTCGAATTTTAACCCAATTAGGTTTCAGGATTGAATCGAACTTCATGTTCACTGGCCCAAGCAGATCTCAAAAATAACTTCACAAGTCAAAACTGAATACATCAACCCGTATTTAGTGGCTGAATTTGGTTGAAATTATCTCTTTTTCCTTTTTAGCGAAATAATGAGCCCATCAACGTTAGACAACCATTTGAAACCTGCCAGCACAAGAGGGCCGTTTCTCCCTAGTATATGACTCTTCAACAGTGCACACTAATCACCTCACAGCGGGAATCAGACCCAGAACCCACCAACTCTCACGTGAAAGCTTAACCTCCGGACCACTGAACTGATGTTCAACGGCGTTAATGTCTAACTTCAACTAATCCACGATGTTGCGCGACCATCTTCCATTGTTCTCCATGGGTAACTGCCTCACACTCGACACGGTTGAACTACACTAGTCGCGACTTCTAACTAGAACTCCGAGAATTACCTCGCAAAGTTAATCAATTTGGATGAAATTCAACAATCTCCACAACCCCGAACTGAAAATTATCATATGCTCAGTAATGGTCTAAAGGTTAAGCGTTCGCTTGAGACCAAAGGTCCTTGGTTTGAATCCCGCGTGTGTGATCATAGAGTAGCACTGCTGAGGAGTCCGATACCAGGATGAAACGGCCATCCAGTGCTTTCAGGTCTTCACTGATGGTCTAACATTGATCGGTTTATGATATAAACAAAATACAACAATCTCCGCAACTTCAAACCGAAAAGAGTAGAGAAAGATGAATATGTTTGCTTTATATTAATAGTATACTAAAAACTAAAAAATAGAAAGTCCAAATACGGGGATGTACATTGGAATAAAAGAATCATGCTTGTGGCCTCCGATGTTGATGGTTCTTGAATTTTGTAACCGAAGTGAAGTGAGTTGAACATGTGACTTACAAATGTGATATACGATCTTAGTAACCATGTGCAAACCCGTGTATTACCGTAACCAATGGAGGTGCATTCACTCTTTGTATCTCTCTAGAACGTGAGTCTGAAAATCTCTTTGTAATCCTAATTCTCCATACCTAATTTTTTCTTACTACTGGTGATACTGTTAATAGTTCTACTACTCTGAGATTTCTTTAGAGATAATTTTATCTCGCTGTATTAATGTGGTGTAGCAACTTGAAATGATACACATGTTAGGATCTACGTTGTTTTCCTTTAAACTATTAATTTTGTATAGGTGTGGTAGTATTTCTAAGCTAAGCCGGATACTGTAGAAGGGATCGAACCTACAACACACGGTTTAAAAACCGTCTTTCATTTTCAAGTGACTACTCCACCATCACTATAACCCTATTGCACTATACTTCAGAACAACCGGAAGACGGTTAGAAATACAGGTTTGGCTGATTAGATATATTTACATCAGTAAATCTACAAGTACGTTTGTTGCTCTTTGAACGGGGAATAGGAGAATGAAGAGGACAAAATTATTAAAGTGGGGGCCCACTCAGGAAATTTCAAAACTGATAGAGAGAAATGCTTCTGGGTAGGTAAATACCTTTTGTACACATATGGACCACCCAGTTGTAGTTTATTCTTGATACAGAGTATTTAGTCAGTCTCCAGTACCGTGGAAAGTATGTAAACAGTTGACATCCTCGTGGGTTACTCATATTATGAAAGATCATTTTCCTCTACGTAATTAAAACAAAAAAACATGACCAGTCTTGATGACCTCACAACCCGATGGATTGATTGCAACGGTTAAGAAACTGTTTGGAACCTGCCACACATAACTGTTGAGCAAAATATTTTACCAAGCATAGATTAGTGCAATCAGTTTCGAGACACTATGGAGGTTAGCTGTACTATTAGGTATGGAAAATCGAAGTAGGTGGAGCAGGACTCGAACATGCGGCTCACTAGCTAAAAGTTAAACCCCTTAACCATTAAGCCACTGCTCTACACATACACCCACGTACAGCACTTCTCAATAGGTGATTGGGAACGAGTAAGTTTTAGAATACAAAACATCCCTCTGTAAAATGATATACTACTAATTAGTCATCATAGTTGAAAACAATTCCATCTAGCTCATTATAACCGAATGTTTTTCGTCTCAATTTAATTATGGAGCGTCGGTGAAATTGAGGTAACATACAGCCAGTGATCTCAAATTAATAACAGCAACTATAATACCTTATCAAAAGTCACAGGTCGCCCCGTCTACTGTAGGAAACTATTACATATAGAAGGATGACTGTTAAACCGAAGTGAAGTTTAAGGTACTTTAGGAAGAGAAGTGAGCACAAGCAGTACCCTTACGATCAACTATCTGTGGACAATTTGACTCATTTGTATAGTCCCGGGAAATCTTGGGACTCAACTCTAAAGTTATGTGGGTGAAAGATATACTAAAGTAAATGGCTTTTCTAAATAATATAAACAAATCCCCATCAAACATATGATTTCCGGTCAATTTGCATTTGTGTCAACTGTGTTTATTTATCTCTGCACCTCTTGAATACCTTGTTAATTAAGAATGTAATTTAAATTTCTTATAATTGAAACCCTCTGAGTCTTAGACATATTTTACCAGCTATCATTAGTTTACTTGTTACCTTCTCGTAAATTTGAAGTCGTAAGTCATTGATAATGGAGTACTACATGGTGAAATGGGTACCTGGGCGTAGTTTAGACCTAAGCATTGCTGTTGAAAAATGACTATGCATTTATCTCAAAATTGTAGAGGCATGTCAATTTACTCGACGAAGTAGGATCCAAAAAAACTGTGTCAAGTTTGTAATCCATCAACAACGTTTGGGAGATACCGAAGTGTCTTTAAGAATCTTTACCCACTTACTAACATCAAAGAAAGTCATGTTATTGGTTAATGGAGACTAGAGTATCGAGTCAAATAAAGATTAGAGTTGTCAACACGGACTGACACCGACAATGCCAAAATGAAAGTTGGTCACGGGGATTTCTGTGCCGAAATACAAAACTCGCAACCTTAGGTCTGATTGGTTTGTCCATAAGTTATAATCTCGCGATAACACTATGTGGACAGACTGCATGTACATGAATAGATATGACACAGCTTGTTCACAATTTAAATTAAAGGGAATAATTTTCCATAACATACTTTTTTGAAAGTCGGTTCGAGATATTCAAAGAGGATTTATTGTATAAAAGTTTTAATGTCGGTCGTAGGGAAATGGAATGTATTCCAGCATTCGAACACAAAGCACTCAGCGTGTATTCCAAAACAGCAACATGAGACTCATTCCTTGGGTCAAATTCAAGTGAAACCTCGTTACAAATTTTCATAGGGATAATCTGATTCTTGAGAGCTTCAACTTCTGGAAAATTAGGAGGACATATATGTAGTTTCTTCCATACAGATCTATCGGTGTATGCGACCCCACGCCAGTGTTTGCATACGGTAGAAACGTAAACAACTTCATCGCCTAAATAACTGTATATACGCTTTACAATATGGTAAGGCAAAAAGCTCCAAGACTGAACCGACGAACCAAAGTCCAATGCCATACGATATAACCGCCAGTCATTTGGGGAATTAACGGCCTAACAGAATTAATAAATTAAGCATTAAAACGCAGGCCAACAAACAAAGAACATTCACCTCTTTTGGGATTTATGTATGACTTCACGATTAGACTGTGTAGTATTCCTGCTTGTAGATGTTCAGATCTCAAATTTGCTTGGAAGAAATGGAAACCGATTTGTTTCTTAAGATATGTAGGGCTAGTGAAATTTCACTGGGCAGTTGCCAAATCATCCGGCAGTTAGGTCACTGGATGTTGAACAGTTCATCGATCGCCGTCAAGGTTGAGGACAACCAACGTGCATCAATTAACCGTACGTCATAGACTGGTCCATGCAGTAGATGTCACAGTTTTGCTTGTACCTACTCTGATATATTTCTGTTATAATATCCTTTGTGTTATACGGTCTTAAAAGCATCCTTAGTACCTTCATATAACAAAGGTGTAGTCCATGTTAGGTGCTGGACGTTGGTTGTGACTTCAGCGTTAGTTGTTGGTCACACCATTGCCATCTAACTCGAGTAGACTCCCAATCATGCGGCATAGATTATTAACGTTGTTAATCTACCGATCTGAGTTCCGGTTGAGAGACAAGATTCTTCTTTATGGGGAGGTAGAAACTTTTGTTTCAGTCCTTCAAGATACAAAAATCCTTGTATGATAATAGGGATAACTGAGGTAAATTTCCCCAGAAATTATTCTTCAGTGCTAATGATCAACATGCAAACACATTCACACCTTGAAACTGAATATGTAGGCGGTTTTGTTCTAACAATATCCACAGTCTCTTGATCGCCTTGAACAACAGTGCTAGCGTGTTCAGGATTCTGTTCTCTCCTCCTAAATGCAAAATATTGCTTCAAGACTAATCTGTGTCAAGGTCTAAACTAGTGATAGGGAGTGAAGTAGTCGAATGTGTCGACTGCTCCACTTATCTTGGAAGTTTCGTCAGACCTGTTGAGTATGTGTCTATTGGAATATTGGGACTAGTTCAGAAAATTCGGTCGGCTTTTGCCAACCTGTGTCACCTGTGTTGTAGAGGAGATGTTCCTATGTCGACCAAGAGACTATTATATTACACAGCAGTTTACTCTGTTATTTTTTATTGTTGTGAAACACGGTTTTCGGAAACAGAGGACATTCGTGAGTCAGCAGTTATGGTTCATGCACTGAATATTTCTATCCATCTACTATCTTGACGGACAGTAGTTGCTGATAATAAATTACATTGGATAAATTTTAGAGACTCAAAGACCATGGCAAAAGATCAGTCCATGAAGCCGCTGACTGTTCGACTGGGTCATGTAAGTAGATGCAGACTATCTAGTTGGGGTCCTTATGACTGTCTTGACAGATGTTTAGAACCCTTCTGTGATACTGCATAGATTCGTGCGCAATAGATGAGCTGCATTTATTCTTTGTCTTCTCTTAGATCACAAGTTTCTGAATGTCTTTTATGAATTTTTTATCCCACTAACTTGCATTTTCTTGTCGAATGGTATCGTAGATGCGTAAGCATTTATATTTCAACTAATGCTTTTACCACCAATACCACTCAGTGATTTAACCTGGCAGTTTCACCTCTTTTTGATAATGAATTTCAGTAAATTAAAATGATGTATGTGTGTGAGACGTCCTAAGCTGCGTACGACTGACTGAACAGTGAAACTAAAACTAACGGTAAATCACTAAGTGCCATTAACACTGCTTCTGATAGCGAATTTGACATATCATAAATTCTAAAGATGAAAAATTCATACAAATTTTTGCGTCTTTATTAAGATATCTTCTCAGATATGATTTTCATTGGATTGCATTAGTAATCTATTGAGATAACGTGGATTATGATTGAAGTGAATCATCATGATTGTAGTCCTCCTTGTCTGTCTGTACAACAAAATTTACCAGGCTAATGGAGGCAAACTTTTCTAGTAAGATTGACATTTTAGCTTTTAGTTTCCTGTTGATCTGACTCCAATTTGAAACAACACATGAACATGTAGAATTATAGTCTAGGTTCGTTATTTGCACTACTGTATTGATAGACCTATAAATAGAACTATATAAAAACAGTCAAGGTCGATAAGCGAATAATTGGCAAGGCCGGAATGGGACTCAAGAAGAATAAATAAGTTTATCTGTCTGGGAGCTAGAATAATACAATGAGTACTCAACACTGCATGTTCTAGTAGACAGCATCATCGACGAACAAGGAGGATCTGATGCAGATGTATAGTCAAGGATTAGCAATGTAAGGACAGCATCCCTACAATTGAAGGATATTTGGAATTCAGACTGCATCACAAGGCAAGCTCTAAGATGGAATTTTGAATGAAACAGTAGAAGAGGAATATCAAAGAATACATTGCGTCGGAAATTAGAGGCAGACATCGAAAGAGTGAATAATAGATGGAAGCAACTGGAGCGAATTGTCCAGGACAGATTTGGACGGAGAATGCTGGTGGAAAACCTATCCTCCTCCACGATGGGTAACAGGAGTAAGTAGTAGCGCCTGCACTGCTGCTAATCTTGAAGAAAACCTTGGTTTGCTCCCCATAAAAAATGACTCATGACCCACATAAAGCAGTGATCTATAAATCGGCGAGTCAACTCCTTTGGAACGAACTAACGGTAAAAGATGTTGAAATGCTGGCAATCGAGTCTTCATACGGCTGATTTCAGTACGCTATAGAGAACTGTTTTACATTGGAGTTGTATGTCTCGAAGCAAAATATAAAATGACGAGTACAGTATAGCTTCACCCACTTGATCTAGGTATTATTAGCACTGATCATAATACTTGTGAAAGAGTTGTCTTAGAGGCTATGCTAATCAGACTTGGTATTAGATGAAGAAATAATAAATGGGAATATTTATCATAATACGTTTTTGGTTACAATTCAGAAGTAAGCAGTGGTACATCCTAGCTGTTTCTCATGGTACCGTGTGTCAAAAACCCATTTACGAATCTGCATATCTGCAATCTTGCTTTGAAAGTCGGACCTAAAGTCACGGTGCATGTCTGAGACCACCCATACAGTACTAAAATCTGTTCGCGTTATGCTCCGGAGATGCCAAAGACATTACAACTGAAGTTGAAAGTTATAAGGCCTTCAGAAATCACAGCAGTTGCTTCGCATGCTTAGAAGCCTTTCATCTGAGACTTGATCTATATTCAAATTACCTAGATGTGGATCTTTTTAACCGATTCAGTGATTATGTTTTATTATGTCAGGACTGAAACTGGCCAACTAAAAGTACTTATATCCAGCCGAGTTTCGGCACAATTTAATAGACTTAAGGCCCGGTTAAACAACAATTCATTTCTAAAATGGACGTAAAGAGTCCTGGGTACGTACTAGTGTTTACCAATGTTCCGGTAGCAACCTTTTCTAGGAATGAGAATGAGGGCTCGCATACTCTTAATTAATGATGGATTCAGTATCATTGAAATTAACTGATATTAAGGGGTTGACTTAGACTATCACAGCCAGAACCCTGGTTATCTGTTCTCAGATATTATCTGCCAAAAAAATCAGTGGAATAAATAAGTTCCCTATACGTAAAAGTGCACTTAACTTTGAAGAGTCATATTCACTATAACTAGATTAGATTGGGTTTACTCAAAACAGATCATGGACTTCTACCATATAAAAGAGGTATTTAAATGACGGCAGTTGACTCCTTTCTAAACACGGAGAGTAGTCGAGAAGTTGGTACTTTAGAAATTATTTTTAATTGTTATTTCATCGAAAAATAGGCTCTTAATGTTTGGCCGCTTCTGACCGAGTTACTTATTTTAGGAGCATAAATATTACTTCTATCTATTGATTACTTCATTATTAATCGCCCGTAGGATCAATATTACTATAAATGGGAAGTTACAATGTAGGTATAGCTACGCTTCGAACAAAGAAGAAATTAGGCAGTAGGTCTGTAATTACCTAACAAAGAACCACGGAAGGTAAGAAACGATAGTTTATGTATCACATTAAAACTTAGTATTACAAGAATATAAGAATGGGACTATCTAAGTGTCTCATACATATTCGGTAAAGATATCAGCAACAATTCTTGGAAAAGTAGATCCCAAATCTACGGCTCTCACAACATTCACGTCGTTAAAAAAGCACATATTTATGAAAGCTTTGATAGATTACAGGTTACTGTATGCAGGTGGTCAGCTTCCATCTGGTCTTTAATGTAAAGGAAGGAAATATCCTATTGTATTGCAAGAGAAGGAAGAAGTCACGGATTCGGTCCTAAAGAACTATCAACAGTAAGTGCCACTCATGTAATAATGATAAAGTGTGCCTTAATCATGAGAAGAGTTACATGAATTTGTATTATCTGTTGAAGAAAGAATCCCAGCCCAGTGGAATAACTAATAAAAATCCTTATCAAATGCTGGAGTAGAGAGTGGTGGCGATTTTTTTGTATTTGCAGTGGGCCATTCTGCAATAATTAGGGCAAATTAAGACAGAAGTTCGATGAGGCACAACACTCATATACTAGCATATTTGACACGTGAACTATTCATTTGAAAGTAATAGACAGCTTCTCAGCGGCATCGTTTACAATGGTGTTGGCAGGAATCACTAGGAAAATAAGTTAATCGAGGAACATATCTGATAGCAGTGAGTATGACTTGTTCACAGTCAAACACCAGATGATCATCTAGGTTTCTAAGGATATCGAACGAAGTCCTTGTGACCCTGAAGTACTTTTAGATTACATTCATACTTCCACAGGTCCTGAGACTTACCTATATCTCCTGATTAAGTAGCTATGAATAGAAACTACCTTTTTATAATAATCCTCTTTTGGCTTGAACTATAAAAAGGAATAAGACTCTTGTTGTAGTAAAAGTTGAATAGGTTCTTGAACCCTCCACTCACCAAAAACCATTACAGTGAATATATCACTTTTAATTCAATTTCAATAAATTTGTTGCATCAAGCCTTGGTATTTAGTTTTTTATCATCTTATCCTGGGCTCTCGAAATCAGTTCTGACTATATTTGAAGCCTCAGATCCGTTGTGTGCCTCTAATTTATTGCAAAGAACATTATCTTGAAAGCCATC